CTTCCTTCCTTCCTTCCTTCCTTCCTTCCTTCCTTCCTTCCTTCCTTTCCTTCTTTCTTTCAGAACAATTTGTATGTTTTGGTTTTTTTTTTTTAATATACTCTGGGTATATGTAATTTACAAATATAAATATTTTGAATTTGTTTTCTATTTCTGTCTTGCTTTCTAAAAACCTGTTAACCATGGATAGTGGTGTATGCTTTTAATTCCATCACTCAGGAGGATGCAGAGGCAGGCAGATCTCTGTGAGTTCAAGACCAGCCTGTTCTACATAGTGAGTTCCAAGATAGCCAGGGATACGTAGTGAGAAACTGTCTTAAAAAAAAAAAAAAAAAAAAAAAAGAACAAAACAGAGAGACAGTATCTCTCTCTGACAAGTATGTGTAATCATTCTCTGGTCCTTATCTTCAGGAAAAGATTTTGTATTATAAAGTTAAACGTGTTTTTCAAGACAGCATATACTATCTTCAATCTGAGGGCCTCATGCCTCCTCAGTGCTCTAGTTTTATGTAATTTTATAACTAATATAGTCAAGTGCTTTTTTGTATCATATTTTATTTTTAGCCATTTAAAATTTATTATTCTTAGTAGCATTAATATTTGCATTTTAAAAACAAATTTAGCAGTGACTATATCTTATATCTGGGTAATACTTTGCTCGTTTTAAAATATTTGTTTTCTATATTTAATGTACAAGTACCATGGTATTTTTAAGCAAAATTTGTTTTAGCTGATGTCTCTTTCCCCATACCTCACCTCCTCTTTCTCATCTCCTTTGTGTTTTCCAGGTCACATGTGTTCCTTTGCCTTCAGGTCCCCTTTTCAATAGCATCTCTTTTTGCCCTCTTTTGATCTTCTTTTTTAGCTTTTTAGGCTTTATTAGCATACTCTTCCATTTGTATACACACAAATATAAAAGAGAACTTGTACTTCTGAGTTTGGTTCACCTCACTTAATATACAAATCCTTTCATTTGCTTGCACATTTTGTAATTTTATTTTTCTTTACAGCTAAATATAATTCCATTTTATATATGTACCACATTTTCAATATCATCTCTTGATGGGCATCTATGCTGTTTCCATTTCTTTGCTGTTGTAGATAGGGTAGCAATGAACATGGATGTGCAAATATTTCTGTGTTATGGTATGCTATCTTCGAGTACGTGTCCAGGAATGACATAGCTGGGTCATACAATAATTCTATTTTTAATTTCTTGAGTGGCCTTCATACATAATGGTTGTATTGGTTTGCATTCCTTCAAGCAGTATACAAGGTTCTTCTTTCCTCAAATCCTCACCAACATTTGCTATTAGTTTTTAATTTTTCTTTGTTTAGAGAGAGGGTTTTTCTGTCTGGGTGATTTGAAACTTGGTATGTTGATGGGGGAAATCAGATAGAACCAATTTTGCTTGCAAATGCCATAATAATACTTTAATGATACTGTGGAAAATAAGTATTTAGAAAAAACAGAGCTCTTACACAGATCTGCCTGCTTCTGCCTCCTGAGTGCTGGGATTAAAGACATGTGCCACTGCATCTGATCTTAGTAGTTTTCATTAGCAATTCTTATTTGGGTAAGATGGTATCTCAGTTACTTTGCATTTCTTCAGACAACTAAGGATATCAAACACTTTGACTGGCTAGTGCTTTTTTGTGTGTGTGATTTTTGTACTTCAAGAAAATAAAATCTGGCTGGGTACAATGGTGCACACCTGTAATCCCAGCACTCAGGGAGGCAGAGGCAGGCCTGTGAGTTTGTTATGCCCGAATTGCGATACCCCAAAAGACCACCACCAGGAGTTGAGTCCGTTGCAAAACACATGAGGATCTTTTTATTACAAATTATTACAAGCTGCAGCTTGGGAGCACAAGAGCCTTGTGCTCAGGTTAGTTGGATGATTTAAAGATTCTGGTCCCTCCCAGTGTGCCCAAAGCATGGGGGGAGTCCTGCCTGGCAAGCATATATTGGTTGAAACGCAAAAGGGATGTTGCATTTTGAATTGATTGGCTATAGGAAGGTCCCTATACCATTAATGATCTGGTGTCCCTCCTTAGGGGGATGGGCTGGTGTCCTAGCAACTGTATCTCTAGTGGACAGGAAAAGAATGCAGTAAGACTACTTCCCCTCAGGGGATTAAGGCTGGACATATCTCCATTTGTCTGGCCTTGGTTCAGGCTTGTGCTTTAAACTTTAAAATAATAGCCACTGATTTTTAATTCTTTGTTCTCTCAAGTTCAAAGCCAGCCTAGTCTACAAAGTGAGTCCAGGACAGTCAAGGCTGTTTCAGAAACTCTGTCTCGGATAAAGAAAAGAAAAGAAAAGAAAAGAAAAGAAAAGAAAAGAAAAAAGAAAAGAACCCCTCTCCTCCCCCACAAGAAAGGGCATGGCAATGCACGTTTTTAATCCCAGCACTCAGAGGCAGAAGCAGGTGGATCTGTGAGTTTGAGGCCAGCCTAGTCTATAAAAGAGAGTTCCAGGACAGGCAGGACTGATACACAGAGAAACCCTGTGGGGGAAGAGAGTTATTAATTAGTTAGTAATTAATCTGGATATTAATTCTGTTTGTTGTATAGCTGGCAAAGATGTTCTTCTGTTCTGTAGGCTTTTTGCTCTTCTGATAGTTTTCTTGTGCTGTGCAATAACCTTTTAATACCATGTAGTTCCAGTTAATTCTGGGGGCTCTTTCCTGCCTGATGCATTATTTAGAATAATCAGTAAGATTTCCCCAGTTAGAATGTAAAGCTTCCAAGCAATGAAAAAAAAAATGTATTAAGATGAATTTGTGCCTTGTGTCTTAGAAAAGCTCAATTTTTGAACTTTCAGATGAGAGATTTGTTATATATATATATTTCTAAATGTCTGTTGTTTGGAGTGATAGACAAGTACATTGTTGTAGCTACTTCTGCAATTAGTCGCTTGTGTTTTACATCATCTAGTTTCTGGAACTCTCAGTTATAGATATGTGAGAGAATGAAGTAAAAAGGCAGTGCAGTTTTAATATTATTTTGAAAGAGGTTTTTACTATGAGTCTCCTCCCCTCAAAATCCTTGGAGATCTCCAGAGTACCATAAGAACCACATTATATGAAGGTGATTATTTTGGTAATTTTTGGTTGTATCCTGAATTAGAAATTGAAGGCTACATGTTTATATTTTTATTTTTTTTCATACCTTTAGGGTAAAATTTTAGTAGCAAAACTGTAAGTCAGGAAGACATTTAAAATGCATCTTTAAAAATAGGATTCTATTGTATAAAGTGGTTTAGTCTCTACAATATTTCTTTTTATAAAGCATTTCTTTTTTTGGATAAGATTTTGCACTGAGCCACGCATGTTGTATGATACTATTCCTGGGATGTAATCCACATGGATACATGTATACTTACTACAGATAGGGAACTACTGACAGACAAAAGTCCAGCTGGGTGAACCAATGAGTTTAACTGGGTAACTTACAGGAGGAGAAGTGATTCAGAGACAGCTGCATCAGTTAAGTCCACACCAATGTGGATTACAGCTCATGGAAGTTGGAAACGTGGAGCATGCTATACTCTATAGCCTGCAGGCAGCTCAACAGGTTGGAGAGGGACCCTTTTAGGTAGCTCAGCTAGTCTCTGCTTCTTCCAGGCACCTCAGCTTGTCTGAATGTCTTTTAGCAGTCCTTACAGTTTTTGTATGGTTGGGGAAAGAAGAGCCTAGTGAATTTGGTCAGTTTCAGGAACTTCCTGAGGCTGTTTTTGTTTACTTTCTGAGCTTAAGGAGCTTCTATGTAGAATGGAATTTTCACCTTACTTTTAATAAAATATTTCTGTTTTCACCAGCTTCCCTCCAAAATGGAAAATTTTAATCTCTGAGGAAATGCCATACAACACTATGCATGCTGGTGCATACCTATAATCTCAGGGTTTTTGAGGCAGAGGTAGGAAAGTTGTGAATTTGAGGAAAGTGTGGGAAACATTAATAAGACCTTGCTTTGAAAGACTTAGCTCTGGACCAAGATATAATATAAAACTTCTGCAGCTGTACTCAGGCAAGAGCTCCTTACTGTTCACTCGGTATAGTGGAGTTTATCAGATTAAGCTCCTGGTTGTGAGGAAGGTTACTTAACAATTTGTATTTTTCTTAAAAGACATGTATTTGACTGTCATACCATTTTCTCTCATTAGGGTCAATGAAAGATCACCCACAGCAGCAGCCAGGAATGTTGTCTCGTGTGACTGGAGGTATCTTCAGTGTTACAAAGGGAGCTGTTGGTGCCACCATTGGTGGTGTGGCTTGGATTGGTGGAAAGAGTCTGGAAGTGACCAAAACAGCTGTTACAACGGTGCCTTCCATGGGAATAGGGCTGGTGAAAGGAGGCGTGTCTGCTGTGGCTGGAGGTGTGACAGCTGTTGGGTCTGCTGTTGTAAACAAAGTGCCCTTATCAGGAAAGAAGAAAGACAAGTCTGATTAAGAGACAGGTACACTTGCTCTCCACAGCTCATTATGCCAGTGGCATTGAACTGCTCAGTTACAGACTACAACAAAGTCAACCGCTTAACTGCGCTGCTGTGTTGAAAGTATTGGTGACTGGCTACGTTTAAAATAAGAAGAGACCAATACTATCACAGTGTATGAAGGCTTCTCATCCTTAAGTTCAGCTTTTTATCTGGTAAAATGTTACACTCGCTCAGTTGTAACTTAAGATATGGTATGTTTAAATATTTGCTGTAAGTCTTTGAGTTTGACTAAAAATGTGAAAGTTCCACTTAGATGATTTTACAGTTCCATGTGTGCAGTGTGCCAGCTAACTCCTATGACCCTTACAAAGGGACTCTTGAGCTACATCAACTGTACCTTTGATGTGCCTAATAGTTTCAGATGTCTTAGTTTTTTTTATAACTATAGTGGTTTAGGCCAACAGGCATTCTTATTTAAGCTGGCAGAAAAGTAGCAGGAATTCAAAAGTTTAGAAGATAAATGGTTTTATGATATTGTTAATTGTTTTTTGTTAGATAAGCATTCTATTTGTTTAATCATTGATGCCTTACAAAAGAAAACATCTTTTCTAATACCTTAAATATGTGTAGTTCTTATAATTATCAGTGAATTCTTTTAAAGGTTGTAAAACTAGTTCTCCCTCTTAAGAATCTCAGGAGTATTAAGGTAAAGGCGTTTCCTGGTATCAGTGGGTAAGACAGTGCTTTTTAGCTGTTGTGAGTGGTTAACATGACATGTAGGCTTTAGTACTTGATTCATGGTCCCATCATTAACACCCCCCCACAGTGCCTATGGGACATTTCTTAGCTGATCAAAAGCTGTGTGGGAAGTTTCATATTGAGAAGGAACAAATATTAAGTTCTTATACTTATTTGTTTTTAGGATGTCTTAAATTATCAGTAGTAATTCCATAAAAAATACAATAAAAGCAACCATAAATAAATGAGGATTGACTCTTCAAATGAATGAGATTGCCTCCATATGCTTTGAATAAAAAAAAATGCATAAGTGTTTTTTTTTGTTTGTTTGTTTGTTTTTTGTTTTTTTTTTTTTTTTTTAATTTGGAGATGGGCTCTCCTGTAGCTCAGGCTGGTCTTGAAATGAATGTGAAGCTTAGGATAATCTTGAGCTTCTAATCCTCATTCTTTCACCTCCCAAGTTTTGGGATTACAGGCATTGGACACCATGCCTGGTTTACATGATGTTGGGGATGGATCCCAGAATTGCATGCATGGAAGGCAAGTACTGTATCACTTAAGATGCATTTGCAGAGAAATGTATTCATGCTTTTAAAATATGTTCTCTTATAATCCTTTAAAGCAGCTGTAGATATATCATTTCTCAAGCCAGTTTCAGGTAGGGAGTTGAAAGTTTTTTTTAATATGGATGGTAAGTGTGTTATGTCTTTAATATGGATGGTAAGTGTGTCCTCATAGCTCATTCATTCTCATACAATAGAACTCAAGAGTCCATTTCTTTGTTTTAATGTTGTTTCATGGAAACTTAATAACTGACATATATATTTGGCATTTATCTTATAATCTAAACCAGAAAACAAACCTTAATTTTCTTTATACTGAAAACTAGAAAACTATATTCATTCTGCCCCTTGAAACTCCCTAGAGAGAGGAAGTGGGTGGGGTCTCAATATCAGTCAAAATGTAGTGTGCCTGAAAACATGGGAAGATCAACCTAATGTGTAGCTTTAAATGTTTGTAACTCTTAAGAGTATTCTATTAGTAATGTGGACTAACAAATAGATAAAAATATAAATTTTAAAAGCATTCATAAATAAAGGCAGGACTTTCAAATAAATCTTATGTTCTTGGACCTTTACGCTCAGACAAAATTTAAAATCATTGAGTTTAATTCAGAAGAAATTAAATGGTCATTAATTTCATGCAATATCATTTAAGAGACGTTTTTGATACATCTGGTAAAATGTTTTAATAAATGGTATATGGTATTTTTTTAAATTGCAAAATAGACCGATTCTCAGTGATCTAAATAATGGTATGGAAGAACTTGTTTCCTGCTATTTAGAAGTTATTGATTCATTGTTGGTTTATATTTCTAACTTAAATGCTCTGCTGTGCTTTGTACTTGAGTTAGTCTAAATGTAGGCTTAGTTTATTATATGTTTGCATATTTATTTTCAACTTTGCTTGTCTTTAAAATCACTTGAGAAAAAAAATGGCTATAATTAATTTGTGCTATAGAAAAGCCACCTGGTAAGTTTTCTTATTTGTCTTAAATGCTAAAGTGCAGTGTTGTTCAGAGGGGCTTTTAATGGTAGCAGAGAATTGTACAGATGTACAGTTAGCTGGAGTTCAAACTGAAATGAACTTGCATTTGATGATGTATACAGCTCTCTTCCAGGTTATTTACATAGACTAGCAATTTGACCTGTTAAACAGGACCAGTTCACTTCAAGAAACTATTGTTGTATACACCTGGAGGCATTTGTTGTTCAGTTCCTTTTCTGAGTGGGTTTGGCACAGTGAAGATAAATTTGTGTGGCCCACTTGAATGACTGAATCTAATAATGTTGACATGAATACTGTATTTAGTGAAATGTCAGATGAAAATACCTGAATAATGTAGTTTTTTCTTGTTTTTTTTTGTTGTTGTTTTTTTTTGTTTGTTTTTGTATTAAAGGGATGGGAAAGAACACGTGAATCTGATAATAAAGGACTATGATCTGCAAAGGTGGAATGTTTCATACAGAAATAAAGGGAATTTATAGACAGGATCATCTAAAAGTTGTTACAAAGCAGTTCAGGAAGTTCTGTAGCCAATTATTTGTGATAATTTACAGACATGATATTTGCATGTAGACACAATCCTAAAGTACAAATACAATTTAAACAACTAAAAGACTGAAATTGGGATGTCTAGGTTTTGCCATCTCAGTTTGTTCAGTCTCTTTAACAACCTTTGTGGGTTATTCTGAGGCACATGGAAGTGTGAAAGCTGAGGCCTTACATCTACAGAACACTTTTCTATTGTATATATTTAAGAGGCCAACTTAAGCTTGCTGCTGCAGGGATCCCATGCCTACTTTTCTAGTGCTGGGATTACAAGTGCGTGTCACCACACTTGCCACATTTTATGTGAGTTCAAGGAATCAAACCTAACTTAGGTTCTAATGTTCCTAACCACTTTGTTTACTGATCTGTCCTGAGCCCTCAGCTATTCATATCAACCCACTCCACATAGCCTTTGCACTTCTCTACTCTCCCAGTCACTCTTGATAAGGTCAACCAGTGATTGGCTTTTCCCAAGTTCATCATCATTCCCTACATCTTAGTTGCCTAATTGTGGCAATCTCACCTACGGCCAAGGCTTTAAACACCATCGCAATGCAAGTAGTGCTGCTGTCCATCTCACTTCTGACTTCTCACAACTCTGTACTTGGCCATTTGCCTGTTATCAACCACTTCACAGTTGACAGTTACCTGTAGAGGATCACGTAGCCTGTGATGTATTCCAGACCTGTTTTGAGAAGGTGGGTGGATGCATGCATTACTGATACTTGCCAGGACAAAGTTCCAGAGGTTCTCCATTGCGCTTAGAATGAACTCCTGCTCTTTAGATGGAACAGTGATGCCTCTCATTTTGTGCTACACTGAATGAAACGTGCTCCCACACTCTCTTGGGTGTCACACACATATGTATATATTCAAGTACACACTTGCGATTGAACCAAGGTGAAGCATGCACTCTGCCACTAAGCTACAGCTGCCAACATCTGGTCTTAACATTTTTTTTCCCTGGCAGTCCTGAGTGCTTTGAGTAAGTGCCTTACTTTGAGTCTTAGAACAGTAAGTATTAACTTCCTGGGCACTTGTTCCTATTTAATGTCCCAACTAAGGAAATGCACAAATTTGGATAGTGTGGAATACTTGCATTTGCTAAGAGAATGGAAGAAGAGGATAAGGACTGCATTTCTCATTATATTTGAGAAGCTGTGCACCATGTATAGTTAACTGTTGTGCATTACAACCAATGAATATTGTAGTAGTTACAAACTGTACACCTGAAAGTGAGCCAGTCTTTATCTGGGTAATGCTTATCTTAGAAATGGAAGTGGAAACACTACAACCAAAAGTGGTATCACATGAAGTAGATTTTCAGTCTTTTCATTAATTTCAAGTGCATGAATTAAATCTGAAATTATAGTTTCATACCCCATCCCCATAATATGTTTGCATTCCTTCCTTTTGCTGTCCAGGGAAAGGTGGAAATTTCTATTCCTGAAGATGAACAGAATTCAGATCTTAATAAATCACTCCACCATGAACCTCATTTCTGAAATGAGGAACATAATGAAAGGGTGTGTTTCTTAAGAGATTTCAAACTGACCACAGAAGTAGGCTCTTAACTAATTCTGGATGAGCAACATTCCTCGAAGATACCCATCCCACACACAAGGTGAGGTTAGCTCTCTCTAAAGGACCATGCTGCCCTGGTAATGACTCAGGGCTGGTGCTACGGAATTAACACTTTAGTAGCAACTCTAGGAACAAAAAACTTCATGTACTTTGATCAAGAGTGTGTACTTGTCAGTTCAAAATGATTCATGTAAACTATCACATGCCTGCCATTTAATATACAATGTTTTGGAGTAATAGTTCAAGGTCAAAGTTCCTTATCACATGCCTGCCATTTAATATACAATGTTTTGGAGTAATAGTTCAAGGTCAAAGTTCCTGACTTTATTTAAACACAATTTATATTTTAAAATACAGCAAATGAATCAAGAGACCATCATTTATGAGGTAACTCAAACACAACTCAGAATCTCAGTAGGTCCTAAGAATCATTAATGTTATAATGAATTGCTTAAGTCTTTGTGAACTGATCACTTTGCTGTCACTCTTCAACATTTAATGATGCCACAGGGTTAAAAAATGGCCTTCCTTGTTTGGCTTGCATTTTGGTAAAGTTATTCTCAAACTCCTTTTTTGTTCCATGTAGACTTGATAGATGTCCATCCTTTATTCTGTAGCCTAAAGAATTCAGCTTTCTTATTCTGTATTGAATTACCTGTGGTGTTAACTCAAGAACCATCGGTGACTCTCTTATTTGAGCTATGGAGATTCCTTCTTTCAGCAGTGCCTGGATTCTGTCTTCTAGAACTGGAGCCGGATAATAGAGAAGTGCAGGGCATTTCACAATTAACTGCCGTAGGTCACAGTCTGTGCACTCAAAAGTAGTCTTAGTGAAGGAAATGCTGTTCTGGATGCTTCCTGGCTGAAGTTGAAAAAGAAATCCTTTAAGTTTGGACAGAAGCTGAAGAACTTCAGAGTTTGTGAAGCCTTGTCCTTGAAGAAATTTTAGTATTTCATCTACAGCTGTAGGAGAATTTAACACAATGAATGGATTTTGGCTTAATAATTTAAGCAGCCACGCTTTAGCACTGGCTTCAGAGCCACCTAAATTTAGGTAGCTCTTCTGGAGAACCCCTATCATTCGTTTATTGTTGTCTACAGGATTATGGAAAATGCTAGAGGCCGTTGTCAGAAACCTGCTAATCACGATATTCTTGAGTCCCAGCTCTTGAAAGAACTGAACATTCAGTTTCTGGTTCTCCTGGTCCTTGACAGTAAAGAAAGGTTCTGGAAACTGGTTTATTAACTGGATTAACTCTTTGTCATTTTTGCATACCATCTGCCAGAGTTTCCTTTTGGTGTTAACAGCAGCAGGACTGCAAACAATGGCTTCTGGACAGCGTTCTAAAATACTGGCTATCACAGTTTTGTTGGCACCTAGTTCTTTCAAAATATTTGTAATCTCTTCAATGTAGGTTTCGTCCTCCAGAAGCACCCATCCTTTCAGTCTGCGGATTTTCCCAACGTCAACTGAACATGAACGGAGCTTTTCCACTGTTCTTATGTTTTCTTTGTTTGACTTACTGTCCGTTTCGTAGATGATGCATGCTGAAGGTTTGATTTTCAGAGCTGGTTCCAGCTTTCTGAAAAGACAGAGCCTACAGAGCTGGTATCCTGTCAGCAGCCTCCACGACATGCTGTGAGCGCTGTCTAATTCTCACATTCTAGGGGAATGTCCACATTGTGCCTGTGTGGAAGATGAAGGCTTTAAAGGAGCATTGGCATTTAGAATAGACACTTGGAAATCTGAGTTCTAAAGTAACTGGAAACGATTTAAGCTAGCCAGGAAGATGACTCCATTATAATAAATCTCATCACCCTTTATAAATACATTGTCTTTCTGAGCTCTGCATCCATCCTGGGAAGCAGGTACTCCAGGAGCAAGTCAAAGGCTGTGGGTTCAAAGGTTCATAGGCCTCAACTGTTATGACACAAATCCCCTTTCCTACAACTGGCATGTTTCTTTTTTTAGGTGGCATAGTACACAGGTAGTTGTTTTTTGAGGCTTGACATTTTTCAAGTTTATATTTAGCTCAGGTAGATGCTTAGGAAGGGAAGAAGTCATTTTTCATTGTTTTTAAAAGTATTTTTGCTGATGGGCTATAATCCAAACAGGTCAGTTTATTTTATTTGAAATGAGTATATAAATGCATATTTGCTCTATTATAACTATGCAAATGTGTACAAAGTGTTATGTGATGAGTGAAGCCTCTGAAAGTCAGGTCAGTTGTGATGGCGATGGTGCTCTTTGACTTAATGCTACTCCAGCCCATGCCTTTACCTGGCTTTAATTCACAGGGCAATGTTGGTAAGTTAGCTGCCTTCAACTAAACACAGGAGTCATTTGAGCAGTACCTTCCAGTCTACCCAAATATCCCTTGCCACCTTCATCTATTAGGAGATGGCTACACTGAAGCATTGCAGCCTCTGCGGATGATATAAGGGGCTGTAGTATTCCACTCCTGTCCTGGGGTCCTGGCTGAGCCCATGCAACAAAGCAAAGCATGCAAGGTTATTTCTTAGGTTGTATACGTCATGGGAGCCCATACAAAGATAAAACCCAAAGCAGGGTAGGTTACATTGAGGAGGACAAAGACAGTAAGATGCACGGAAGCAATGCTACTGAGCAAAGAGCTTAAAAGCTGTGGTATTTCAGTAAGGTTTGGTCTAAACTTATCCTTAAGAAGGATGTTACTCCTCTTAGTACAGTGAAGGTGGTTTTCTCATGAAACTTTCACCTTCTCTTGAACAGAAGAGTCAGAATGACCCAGCACCCACTTTTGAGTGGCTTTAATTCAAAATAGTCTTATGTCATGCTCTGATGTATTAATATGTCAGCCTCTTCACCACTGTGTCTTGTTTCTGGTAACATGCATACGCCCTAGGGTTTGGTAGACTTTTAGTTCCTGGGAGTATTGGAATGTCAGCCCTGCCACACACAGTGCTGTGTCCTTTATGGCTTTCTGTATTCATAGATTTGACAGGGTAAATGCAAAGACAGCCATTTCTAATCCTTGCCACTATCACTGCTCTTGCCATATATGCTGATGACTTTCAAGCCTGTCATAATCCAAATGATTACTCTGAAGAATATGATTTGAAGTGGTGGCTCACTGCTGGGGTCTATGGAGGCTAACACTGTAGGCATAGTTTCTGTTTTACTTGCAGTTTAGTTTTCTTCAGGCTATTCCTAATGCCGTAAGGCAAGACAAAATATATATATATTTTAATAGTTTCTAAGAGAACTTTCAATTTTAACAGGAAGGAGGTGGTAAGTATGATGAAGCCCAGGCAGATCTGGGTTGGGGGACTCC